AAAAACAAGAATAATTGTTTGCATTTGAGGTATTCTTTACATGAGTACCAAGGTGAAAACGTAATAGTCAATCAATGGAGGTATAGACAATAAGCAATGAGTTTTTCCTAAATCTTTTTCTGATAAAATGCGGTAGACTTATTTAAATATAGTAATGCACTTTCAGTTGATATAATGCTCCAGCTTCTACATAGCATACTTTGAAGCAGTAGAAAATTCACACAACAAAGATTTCGATGCGATTCTGTTTATTTTGATGAGGACGGATGAAGATAACATAGGAGGTTTGTTTTATGTGAAAAAAAGTTGCTCACAAAAAAATTCTGATAAAAAAAAACGTATCTTATTTTCACCTAAAAATTTGAATTTCTTATGTACAATGGGCGTTTTTCGTTAGAAATAACACTTCAATTACTTTTGTGTTTAAAAAAACGTCAAAATTTCGCATATCTGTCTGCTTGAATGTGTGCTAGCCGTAAAACACTGCTTATTTTGGACCATTTTTAAATGATTATGCAACACCAAGAAATATACCTATATATTAAAAATTTCAACGAAAATAGATGAGCTGTCTATAAATTATTTGAAATACAATTTACAAAAAGTCAGATCACAAAGTGAATGAAATTCGTTTTCCTTCAATTTTTATCTAAACAGAGAAAATTCAAAACTAAGGCTGGTCTATACGAAACGCAATAATATTTACAAAAAAGCACTATGATTTTTGTATACTTGTCGAGTTATGATTGAATCGAAGTAAAGGAGAGAGAGAGCTATTACTTTTTGATGAGTGTAGAACTACAACATTGTTACTTGAAAGAGGTTATATCACAATAAGAATCGTAAGATCTCCTTCTCAGATTCTAATACTGAACGAGAACATAGAAATCTCCTTAGAATTTCATGTTAAGCAGTTTTCTCTTCCTCGACATCGAAAGTATTTCCTTACGATGTGCTTTTTTTTTAAAGACTACGTTACAGAAATACTGTCTCATTTATAGTACTTTCTTGTGTATGAGAGACAAAAATCTCTTCGATAATGACGATCTCTTTTCTGTTTCGTTCATTGTAGTAATTTCTAATATTCCAGAGAGGTAGTCCTGGGTATTGATCAGAATCGACATTTATGTACTAAACAGAGATGAGCGAGTCGGATTTTACAAAACTGAACTTCATGTATCCGTTGATATAAATTAACATCTTCAATAAAATAATCATCAATAGTTGCTATATACAAAAAAGATACTAGATTAACACAACAGAGCCTGAATTACTTTGAATAACATTAGTTGATTGATTATTTTCTCTACTTGATGATATATTAGATATTGCTGTTATTGAATCTACATCAAAATTTGGCATTAAAATTCTTTCTCTTAATTTTGATGAAAGAAATTTTAAAACAGTAAATATGTAAGATCAATATTATTATTCGTTATACTACAATGACTGATTCTAATTACGATTTTTTCTCCTTTTCGGTTCGTATTATTTTTTAATCGCATTACAATTATGCAATTAAACATATACTGAGGAAACATTCTCGTACATTTCAGAAATATCATATATATAATTTCTAGAATATTGATTATTCTGAGACTTCTTAAATATTTAATAAGTAATTACATATTTCATTTAGCCTTTTATTTATTAATTACTATTATTTCATATAAATCAAAACAGTTTTATATATCTACTCATCTTCCTCAGAATAGAGAATTCATTCTATTGTTTCTTTTCTACTACCAAAACGAACATATTTCTAGTATTAAAATAATGATTTATTTATTGAATCTGATTCTATTGCAATATTTTCATTCGTATAGTTTGATATTTCAGAATCTGATGACAATACTAAAATAAATGTATCTAATTTAAGTATATAAAAACTTATTTGAGACAAACCTATTTCAGTCGACATTGAATATACAAAATAGAATCGCTTTAACAACAATACAATTCACAGATATAATAAGACTATAATGAATTTTATATTTTGAGTTCACGCCACAATAACTCACCACACGATAGAAAACATAAAATGTAAATTTTTTTTTGTAAATAAACTGTATAGGAGAATAAAATTAATTTTTTTAAGTATTTTTTTATATGAATAATTTATTTTGTTTATTCCATTCCTAAAACAAGAAAACTGAAATCTTTCAAACAACGTTTGGTGAAAAGAAATTATATGATTTTACTATCACCTTTAAACGTATTTAAATCATCTAGTAGCTTGTATTTCTTTATTATACCATTGAACAACATATTATTAAAAAAATATCCTTTTACTTTCATTTGTAAATAATTTTAAATTATATAGTTGTTTTTTTTCGTTTATCTAACCAATAAGGAAAGTTTGGTGAAAAGAAAAATTAGATCATTTTATTATCATTTTTAAAAGTACAAAAAAGTTATATTAATTTAGTATCGTTTTTTAATGTATTTAAATCTTCTAATACTTTGTATTTTTGTTATTGTATCATTTAGTAGCGTCTGATGAAAATAAAAATTAATACAATTTTACTAACATTTTTCAATATATTAAAATTATACAGTTACGTGTATATCTTTGTGCTACCATTCAGTGATAAAAAATAGAAAAAAAGATATAATTTTATTTTGATTTTTAAATATGTTTAAATTAAATAGTTCCTTGTATATTTTCTTTATTAGATGATTGACCAGAGTTTGATGAAAAAAAAATTAAAGGACTTTGCTATCTTTTTTAAATCCATCTAATCCTTTATTAGATTGTATTTTTATATCATATCATTGCGCAGCGTTTGAAGAAAAAAAAAGTGTATGATTTTATAATTTTTTTTACATGTATGTAAATCATCTATTAGCTTCTATTTTTTTACCATGACATTGAACAGTGTTTAAAGAAAAAAAAAACATTTACTAGCATTTTTAAATCTCTTTAAACTTTTTAGTTACTTGTATGTTCCTTGTATCAGATCATTAGCAGAGTTTGATGAAAATGAAAGAAACTATATAATTTTACTATGATTTGGAAATACATTTAAATTATATAGTGTGTATATCTTTTAATAATATAATTGAGTAGGGTTCCAAAAAACAAATTGAATATTTCGATCATGAAACTAGGCACGAAAAAGAGTTTTACAAAGAATCAAACTGTTGTATGTACCATAATCGTCGTCTGTGTCAGAGTGAATGTATTTTACACAGACGACTTTTTTTTAAAATTCATAGTAAAAAAATAGCTGTAGTAATTTCAATAACCATGTGAAATTTTAAATAGCTATGATATTTTTAAACAGTTGTACCCCTTTTAAATAGCTGTATGTTTAATTAAAAAGTACCTCTTTTGAGAAGCTACGGTATCTAAGCCTTCTCATGATCTTACTCAGAGTACATCACGGTTGTTCTTCGAACAGCTTCACATAACTTACCAAAAGCCTATGCAAATACTTAGGAGATTCTTCGGCAGATCTACATTTATCATACAGAAAATCATGTATCCTTAAGGTTTCCTAAAAAACATAGGGATTAGGTTTGATATTTTGTTGTTCAATGATTCGATATTCTTCTCACAAGATACAGATAGAATCTTCTCTGATGTTCATGTAAATGATCATTCTGCCAAAAAGATTCTGAATCCTTGCAATTCTGAATGAAATCCTCAGATCCTTATGTTTTTCGATCAAAAGCTTATATGGAATTAGTATTACTCTTTCTTGGAGAACCTCCTTACAACAATCTCCAGGTGTTATTTTTATGATCAAAAGCATCTTGGGAAGAATTAAAAGTAACATAGATGTAAGAATCGTTATCAAATCCTTTTTTTCTCATAAGAAACTAGGAAAAGACTTCTGAATTTTTATCTGTGGAATGAGCATTCTCAAAGATGAATGTCATATTTGTAGCGCTTGCTCTCACGAGAGACGAGATCCCTTCGACAACGACGATTTCTTTTCTTTTTCGTTCATTGTAGTAATTCCCAATATTCTAGTTGATACCCGATGGGCACAGAATGGAGTGACTGTTGCTGGTGGTCATGGAGAAGGTAGTGCCACCAATCAACTCAACGGGGCTCGTGGTTTCTTAGTTGATGATGATCAAACCATGATCATCGCTGACTGCAACAATGATCGTATCATCCAATGGAAGATGGGTGATACGAATGGACAAGTAGTAGCTGGTGGTAACGGCGAAGGAAATCGATTGGATCAATTATATCGACCAACCGATGTGTTGATCGACAAAGAGACGGATAGTCTCATTATTTGTGATTGGGGGAATCGACGAGTCGTACAATGGTCTCGTCGTAGTGGTACAACTCAAGGAGAAATCCTCATTCCCAACATCGATCCTTATGGATTGGCCATGGATGATCAGAGATATCTCTACATCTCTGACATCGACAAACATGAAGTAAGACGATATCAAGTAGGAGACAAGAATGGAACTATTGTGGCTGGTGGCAAGGGCAAAGGTGCTGGTCTTAATCAACTCTACGTGCCGACCTACATCTTTGTCGATCAACAACAGACTGCCTACGTGTCAGACAACAATAATCATCGTGTAATGAAATGGAATAAAGGTGCAAAAGAAGGAATTGTCGTCGCTGGAGGTCAAGGCTATGGGAATGCTCTGACACAATTGCATCGTCCTCAAGGACTGTTCGTCGACACATCGGGTACCATCTATGTGGCAGACTTAGGGAATCATCGAGTGATGCGTTGGCCTAAAGGAGCGAAACAGGGCACTGTCATTGTGGGTGGAAATGGTTCCGGAGAAGGAGCAAATCAGTTCAACTTTCCCATGGGTTTGTCCTTTGATCGACATGGCAATCTCTATGTCGTCGATTATTGGAATTATCGTGTTCAACGCTTTTCAATCGAATAGACTCGTCGTGATAGAATCTTTTTTGCGTTGCTTTCCTTTCAAATAAATCGCATTGAATTGATGAAATGAATGGCTTATTCTATTCGCGTGCGCGACCAGGAACCATCCTGGTGGAGCCGTGGCGAGCGTAACGCTCATGCACGCGCAGGACAGACTCATATCATTCATACCCTCCCCGCGAGAGATATGTCAATGAGTCTGAATAAGCCTGGTCGTGTGCCACGGACACCAAGATAGTTCCTGGCCAGTGTTTAACGTCTAACCTGAGAAGACGATCTAACTAACACTCATAACTCTATCTCACTCTCTCTCTCTAACTATAAAGAAAAAAAAATCTATACTTACAATTCTACTGATTGATATTGAATGTAAGACGATGACTATCTAAAAGAAAAAGAAAAAAAATTTATTTAGATTCGTTTAAATTTAAAATAAGACTTACTTTCTATTATATCCACTGAAAAGAGAAAAGAAAAAAAAACATATTTTCAGAAAAATTAATAGGTTGCATATCGCTAACCCATTAATCTTAATGATATATATAATTTAAAAAAAAAGAAAAAAAAATTAAAATAATACCCACATATTTATATTGTATTGCTTGATATTATTTTGTTTTGTTTTGTACCATTAAGTCCATCCTAAAATATAATAAGAAAATTTGTTAGTTGATTCATGTAAATGAATAATTTTTACATTGAAAAATCATTCATTTATATACACTTGAAGAGAGTTATTTTTTCCCTGGAGAGACACAATTTTCTTTTTTTTTCCACTCTCCAAAGAATTGTTATTAATAGAAGCTATTAATTAAACTTCATTCCATATATGCTTATACATAAAGCTTAATTGATTGCACACTTTATGTATATATGTAATTATTGATCATCAAAATGTACATGATCAATACACATATTGAATGAGATTGAGAAAAAAACATGGTCATTGTCTTGTACAGAATCATATAGACGATATTCGTTGTTATCTTGTCGATGAATGTTGTCACATGTTTCTCTGCTATTATATACAATGCAAAAAAAAAATTATTATTTTATTATGATGAAATCATCAATATTTTATATCAACAAGGAAAATCATATGTTTTTTGTATTATAAAATGTTATATCAAACATAATAATTTATTTGAAAAATTAAAAAGTACATTAAGTCATAATCATATTTAAATGAATTTTTTTTCATTTGTTAAATTATTTTTCTATCGAGAAAGTCTAGAATAGTTTTAGTTGATAGCTTATAAAAATTTTCTATCAAAAGTCATTAGAAACAAATCTATTTAAGGTTGGTCTCTCTTCAAAAAATGTATAATTTTCAGAAAAATATTATCTCTACGTCTAAACTTATTTAATATTATATTTTGTTTCTCAAAAAACGTACTTTTTAATGAGAAAAATAGAAATAACTCTTGCTCAATTCATTATAACAGCAAAGTTTGTTTTTGTCTATTTCAAC